TCATTGAAGATTAAACGGATGATCTAAATGCCTATACTCTGGCTCTCTAATACTAACCATCCTTCAGGTGGTTAATCAAATTTCTCCATATGTGTACCTGATCTGTCATCACCTGTGCTAAATTTCTGCTTTTTTGAGATTTTAAGATATCATTTACATATGTTTCTACTATTTTAAATGGAAAATCATAATTTAATAGAATAATTCCAATATACCCCAGTTTATCCTAGTGGACCAACTAGACCAGTGTTCTCAATCTTCCTAATGCTTTGACTCTTTAATACAGTTCTTCATGTTGTGGTGATCCCCAACCATAAAAATATTTATATTGCTACTTCATAACTGTAGTTTTCTATTATTATGAATCATAATATAAAAATCTGATAGGTAGGCTATCTGATATGTGACCCCTGTGGGGTTCATAACACATTGGTTGAGAACTACTGCTCCAGACACAGAACATTTTTTTTGTTACATGTTTTCTTTGTTAAGTAAAAAGGTTTTGTTTTTCCCCCTCTGAATACTGAGAGAATGAGAGTGGTGTGTTTTCAAACATTGCTAGCAGCACCTGAAGTTATAAGTCTCCAACAGAGTTTCCATTTACATGTTAGATGTATCTTGAATCAAGTGGATAAGTTAGTTTGCAGCCAACATATCTTTGGGTAAGGTTTTTCTTATAGACCTTCCTGACTTCAAGAACTCACATTCTTAAGTGAGTACTATATATTGATCCAATGTAATGAACAATGAACATGAAGAGGAAACATCAGAGAATCATGAAAAGGAGGAAACTGTCAAGTGCTTTATTTGATTGCACAAATAGATCTGCAGTATCATTACATACATAGGAGGTTGATTGCATCCAAAGTGGATGATGATGGGATTTCTGTACATGTTTGAAGCCCCACTTAAGTAGACAGTGATGAATAGGTGGATTCTGATCCCTTTGCAGGAAGACTACTCAGGATCAAGTCTAATCCAGGTGACTGAGATTTTGTGATGAATGAGGGCTCCTTGGAAATGTAAGACCAAGACAAAGGGGTGGAATTATCTCACATAAGCATGAGCTGTTGCTTATGACTCACCATATGGTATCTTTCCTCCATAAATAATACTATAGGTATCACCAGCGAATCAAAATCAATCAATCACTTTCAGGGTGGTTTTCAAATAGTCATTTCTTCATGAATTAATATTGCCTCCATGACTGTTTCTGTGTTGTGGAATTATACTCATTAGCTGTCTTCATAAACTTGACACAACCTAGAATCATCTAGGAAGAAAGAACCTCAACTGAGCAAGTACCCAGGTCCACTTGGTCTGTGGTCATGTCTGTGAGAAAAACCTAGAAGTTTCGAGGTCAGCAAATAATAATGAAACAATCCAGAATAATTAATTTCTTCTCTGATATCCTTCTGAGACCTTAAATTGGGAGACATATAACCATCCCTGTTTCCTGATACTCATTTCATCAGTTGCAAATTGTTCTGAAGATTTATAGTGTGTGTTTAAGGGCTTGGTAGACTTATACATTATCTTTTCTTTTCCTTTATATTATGGATAGATTAGATACCCACTGAACTAACTACATGTTTACAGTTTGGGAAATAGAATTTCATAGTGTAGACTAAATTGATGTTAGAATGCTAGTACTTTACTGGTTGTATTATCTGTCTGGATCAATAGACTTTTCTACATGCTTTGAGAGGGCAGATTTCCAACTATTGATTCATATGTCTTATTAATTTTCTACTTTTAAGCAAGCCAGGTACCCACATTAAGCACTTCATTGTTTGCATATTAGATAGAGAATTATATACCCCCTCCTTTTTCCTATGTGTGCTTCTCTTCCCATGTTGTCCTTTGGTTCTGAGTGTAAACAGATTCATCAAAGTCCAAGCAGGCTGCTAACTTCCAAACTAGTGTATACTGGTTTTCAGTAAGGCAAGTGGTACTAAATAACTTCTTTGAATTTGGAGGTCTGACTATGTAACACCTTTATTAATTGTAACACATTTATTAATTTTGAATATGGGTAAGAAGTACTTCCTGTCAAGCAAAGCCAGGGCATTAGCTGGCATATAATTTTATACTTGGCATCCTAACAGTGAACGTATTAAACAACTGTCCTCTCTGAGTAGGACTGTCATGGTATCTATAAAAAATGCATGATTCAAAGATGACTATAATTCATATATCCAGCCAATGTCAACAAATAAAATCTCACATAAATGTGATGACCCAGAGGGAACTACCAATGGCTGAAAGGCTGAAGACATTGAAGCTCCCCTGCACTGCTGCTGTGCTTACGTAGCAGTCTACTTCCTCCTGCAGTACTCAGCTTGCAAAAGTTTTTGAATTTAGACAAAAAAAAATTCAGTGCAAACAGTTGGAACCTGGCTACGTCAAAATACCAGCAAATTTGTTCTAAAGCCTGAGGATGGGACAGGAGCCAAAGGGCTATATAATAAATACAGAGAAAAGGGACAGAAATTCTCAGTATAAGTTTTGCAGAGACTGATCAGACATGTGCTAAATAGAGATTAAAATGAAGAGCCTCCCCTTTCCAAAAAATATGGTAATCTCTTATGAATTAGTGCTTAAACATAAAAAAATGTAGAAAACTCATTTTAAAATCCCATAAGGCTAGAACTGTTTGTTAGATGTCATCCTAAAGCCATCATCCGGAATCAGAACTTGTTTGATTCCGCAGTACAAATTTGAAAATTCCTCAGAATTTGGATGGCAGCTATATAATTGTTGGGCAGAATACATTTTGAATATCCATATGTAAGTAATTTTTATATGTACTAGGAACACTGGTGTTGGCTGCCACTCCTTGCAGTTCTGACTTGCATTCTTCCGATACTTGCTCCTTGGGGTAACAATTCCAGTGTGAGGAGATAGTAGAATGAAATTTTGGAAACCTTTCTTTCCAGTGTTGTTTCCATTTAATTTAAAATTTCACTTAATGAAGTGATCCCAAGGTGGCAATTCTCTTTGCAACTTAGAGTTGCAAGTTTTTTTAAAGTGATCAAAGTTTTTTGTTGTCTGTTCCCACTGCCTCATGTGTGCTTTGATATATTTGTTTGTTTAGTGACCTGAATAGGATATCTGTCAATCATTTTCACTAACCTAGCAATAAAGCCAGAGACAGGCAACATCCAACTAACAGAAGGAATCACAGTGTTTGGAGAAAAATGATTTCATGTCTGTAGGAACTAAAATGAGCAAATCCTGTAGTTTGCAGTGCATCTCAGAGAAACATTCATATCACACAGCAGCAATATTTTGGTTCAAAAATATCTTTTAATGATTCATTTTTTTACCTCTCTCTCTCTCTCTCTCTCTCTCTCTCTCTCTCTC